GTCAAGTGAAAGAGACTTCTATAAGGTGTTAACTTTTTCCTTCACCGTGAATTTGCCTTGACAATGATGAACCAGAATCATCATATGCTCTAAAATATTTAATTATTGCTATTTTCTGTTTATCTAATTTTCTTATTCTTTTCTCTCTCAATTTTTTTTTCTTATTCTTTTCTATATGCCCCGAGGTTTTGTTTGAATGAACTTTATGTTATAATATGATCACAGTCATGAAGAGCTTGTTCTCAGAAGCCGAGATCAGCCAACGTCTGATTATGGTGAGTGACTTAAAACCCACCCCAAATGCATTGATCTTGTTTCTTTCACATATCTTGACAAATTTGGTTTGTCAGTGGTTATGTTCTTCAGATTTGTGACCTCTGCTGAAATACAAAAGCGCAAAGAATTTTTTGAACCTTTTATACTGGGCTTAACTAATACAACAGTCGAGCAGGTTTGTTCAATGTTGAGAATTTTTATAATCCTTCCAAAAGTTGCTTGTGAAGAAGTTAATATCTGGCAAAAAAATGAAACTATACAATCATTATATCTATTGGTGAAAAAGCTATCCATGATCTGTCTTCTGATTTTAATGTTTAATTTTCCATCTCGTGTTATTTATTGTGGTTTAGTTTTGCCAATCTTCTGTTGAACCAATGGGTGAAGAGAGCGATCATGTGCACATTACGGCCCTTTCAGATGCATTGGGCATTCCAATCCGTGTTGTGTACCTTGACCGCAGTTCATGTGATACTGGTGGTGTCAGTGTTAATCATCATGATTTCATGCCAGTGGCTGGTGATCTCCCAAATGCTAGTTGTAGCTCCGAAAAGAACATTCCTTTCATCACACTGCTGTATCGCCCTGGTCACTATGACATCCTCTATCCAAAATGATGACCTTTTGGGAAGACCCTTTGTTTACTACTTTTTTGATGGTGTGGAGCCGCAACAGCTTTGCACTCAACTTGTGTTGGTTGCTAAAGGACATGTGTCGTCTGTACCTTGTTAATGTTGAACGATCAATTTTCTTGAATGTTGTTATATTGATCAGCAAAGTACTTCAACATTAACGCACTAACAATCAAAACTCAGCTTGATGCTTTTCTTGTTGGCCATGATTTCATTCTCAATATCTTTGCATTTGATTGGTCAATTTTCTTGAATTTTACCTATTGATCAACAAAGTTCGTCAACATTAAAGCACTAACAATCAAAACTAAGCTTGATGCTTGGTGGTTTACATGTTGGCCATGATTACATCTCGATATGTCTGCATTGGCGGTAGTGATTAGTGTGTTGGCATGGCTACTTGTAGCTCCTGTGGAATGAAGCACGTGTATTATCTCATTGTGGCAGTTTCTGTTTTGCATGTGTGCGCATTTGTTACAGTAATATATAGCACAAACAATCATTTTATCATTATCGTGTAAAACTTAGGGATAATACGAGACTGTGAGAGACTGTAGGTGAAGAATCCCGTGAGGTGAAAAGAATTAATGTGGATTATAAAATTATATATAAATAATTAAGATTGTTGTATATGAATCTAATTTTGACTATCCGTTATGATTATAAATTTATGATTAGCTCTTTCCATGTTCTCATCTCATCTGTGGAGAATGTTTTGGTAAGAATGTGATGACGGGCAATAGGCAATGGGCTTGGCAGTTGAATTTCTTAATATTCTTTTTGGGTCCAACGTAGGTTTGTTTTTACCTTTCCATGACAAGTAAAGCTCCTCGAAGGGACAGTCAAATTGGCTGTGGCCCAACCCGGTCCAAAATCTTCTCTGTAACTATTTTACTGGCCTTCGCTTATTTCTTTATGATAGCTCTATTCTTTAGATAAGGAAAAGAGTTTCGACCAAGAGTTGATTTCAAACTAAGGAAAATAAGTTGTATCAATGTATTCCAATCATGTGGTGAGGTGAACTTTCAGTTATTTGAAACACTGTCACTATTCAGATCAAAGGCTCATACTTGGTGCTTCCCAGCCAATACATGATTATGGTCATTTGATAACTTTGTAAGGTTCCGTGTTCATCTAAACTTTTCAACCTATACTCGATTATGGAGTGAAGCGTATTTAAGATGCTTCTCCGTTCAACTGTTATTTATGGCAATGACGAAGCGAATTATCTTTAAGCTGATTTGCCAAGTCTTTTTTTTTTTTTTTTTTTTTTTTTTTTTTTTTTTTTTTTTTTTTTGTCTTTTCATGGGGTCTTCGTTAAATGTTTTTGTTCGTGTATCAATTAATATTTTACATTTATAAATAATATCGCGGAAAGAAAACAATGTTATGACGACATTTACGTCATTTGTTAAAGTATACATTAATGAAATTATATAAGTATAAATTATGCTTGATATCCCTATTTTCTTTATTGCATTATTTTAACCTTATTCAATTTATATAATTGTATACTAAATTAAAAGTTTTTGTTAACTAAATGGGTAACCGATGATATTATATATATATAAATATATAAATTAATCGAAGTTTATATAGGATAAAAAAGATAGAGGATATTGAGTGAAATTTTGTTAAATCTCATAAGATGCGGATGAGTGAAGTTTCTTACATGTAATTCTTTATTGTAGTATATGAATTTTTGCGTGCTGTCTAGGCCAAGGGGATCAATTACTCCACCGCCATTTGGATTTATAAATTTTGTGGGCTCAATAATCCCTAAGACAGTGTAAAGTAGTCATGGTCACGCTAAACACTTGATCTGGCAAATTCCAAGTGAAAAGCTAATTCAATTGACGTGCTCTGTTTCTTTGCAACGCGCCTGGATTACTTATTCTAAATTTTATACAGTTGAAAATTCAATATGTCTATATCTTAATTGATTGGAAGTAACCTTTGAGACTTTGGAAGGCTGTAAAATTCAATTAGGAAATTTGGATTGTTTTTGGTTCCGGTCTGCACTTGCCCACTAATAACTATAAGAGGGTCAATATCCACATTACTGTTTGAATGCTTAAAGTTTAATATTGTTTTAAATAATGGTGATGGATGCCTATTGGCATAGGTTAGCGTATGGTAAGAGAGGGAAAAATAAAGAGCAATAATAAGTTAATAAGTGGTGGCAATGGCATTGTTGAATAAGAGTTGAAGTTGAAGCAAGTAGAAGTAACCGCAGTTACAGAGTAGGGCATTGAAAATAAAAAAAAAGAAAAAGAGCTAAGAAGAGTAGACTAATAAGCAATGAAAATGGCCTCCTCCAAAAGCTCCTTTGAATTGTTCATCAAAGCAGGACTCAGCCTGAACATGAGGGTGCAGAACTCCATCTCATCCAGTGCTCCATCGCCATCAAGATCACCTTCTCTTAGCATGCACCTTATCTCATCATCGCTCATCCCTTCCAACCCAAGCAACGCCGAGTTCTTCTTCAAGCTCTCAAACGTTATCACCTTCTTCTCTCTGTCCATCAACAACTGAAATCCGTTTGTCAGCTCCTTCATAAACCCCTCTGTCCCTAGCTTCTCCATCATTGCAGGGAAGTAGTCCTCAAACACAACCGTGTTCTTCTTCGATGCCATTCCTCTTTATTTCCCAGTGCAACACCACACTTGTAACTATAAATGAAAGAAACCAAATGGGGTTTGTGTTGGTGAGGAAGTTGCTGATCTGGGTGCGCGCATTTATATAGTGAGATGAAAAGCACAAAGGAAAGTGTTGGAGGAAGGAGTGGTGCAAGTGTTGATTACAACTTGACAATTCAGGTACGGATAAGAGGGTTTGGTTAAGGAAAATGTTAAATATACACACTATTTTTGGATGTGTGGGGGTGGAAAGGAAAAAACATGATATAATTAGAATTTAGAAACGAGGAAAGCGATAGAAATAATAATAAAGGGAGCAAGCAAGAGATAGAGGGAGTTGTCGCTAGGCCTTATTTTTGGTTGCACAAATTCGAGGCCGTTTTCTTGTCTAAAGGGGTTACTCTTTCGTGGAAGGTGCGTGGGAACCTCTGTAGTGTGTGACTAAGGAAGGTACAATTATAGTGACTCATGAGCTTAGCATTTTCCTCTCTTTCGAGAGACACAAAATTTTGGTACTTTCTTGGGTTTTGGGCCGACCCTGCCATATCCAAACACGAAAAGGTAACAAACAAGGAAAGCAAGAAGATGCCGTGATCTAGCTATGTAGTCCAAAAGCCTTCAGTTGACCCACACATAATTAGAATGAGAGGGCGAGTTGGATTAGGTGCTTAGCAATCATCATTGTACTATAATTTGGATCTTATAAATTATGAGATATTTTCAATTGGGATGCTAGCTAGAGTACGTATTTCCAAGGGATCATAATAATCGACACAATTATTACATATACTTTTGTCTTCCAGAAGAGTGAAGACCCTAGGTTTGTTATGTTACATGTTTATAATGGTAACTGACTTAATATTTTTTGATGGAATAATGATAATGCATTCACTTTGTTCTGACAGAAAAGTGCATGGGGAAGGTGCCGAATTGCTATAAAGAGAAGAAACAAAGTAGTCAAATCATAGAAATTTCATGTAGTTTTCGATAGTTTGGATTTAACTTTGTGTTTGCGGAGATTCTGTCTTAATGGGTTTGGATTTGTACAGTTACGTGGCTTCTATGAAAGATGGTTTGCGCACTGTGTATGTGACACCAGTAGGCCCACAACTGCAATGCCTTCGTGCCAATTGCAAAGTGACACCTTATCCTTTTATTAAAATAATTCATGTCCCCAAATTACTCTCCGAAATATTCGGAAAACCTCTCTGTCCATGAAAAATAACAATAACAATAAATTATATTTTTGCACTCTTCTGTGTACTTTTAATTAAATTGAATTTTATGACTCTCATAACCAAATTCAAGTTACTAGACTATTTATTTTGTTTGATTAATAATGTCAATATTATATTATATACATGAATTAATTTTTTTTATATTCTTATCTAATGTTAAATTCAGTTTACAATTAATATATATATATATGTATATATAATTAATAAAATTAAGATTAAATATGTTTTTAATCAGAATAAATTTTGATTTTGATTCTTATAATTTTTTTTATTTTTCATTTTTATAAAATTTGAACTATTTTTTAGTCTCTATTTTTATGTGATTATTTCTAATTATTTGTTTATAGATCCTTAAAGTAAATTTTATTATTTATTTTAAAATTATCGTTAAGAGTTAAAAATAGTGAGTTTAGATTTTAAAAAATAAAATTTAAAGAAAAATATTTTATAGAGATCAAACTCAAAATTTATTAATTTTACAAGAATAAAAATAATATATAAATTTTAGAAGGGTGAAAAATAAAAAAAATATTTATAAGGGTCAAAATAAAAAAATCACTCATTTTACATAAAAAAATAAAATAAAAATTTAAAGTTTACAAGAATAGGTTAAAACCATCGTTCAACGATTCAGTTTAGAATTCAAAATTACGTATTTGATAATTTTGGCTTAAGGATCGAATTTATGTCAAAACCCAAACCAATTCAAATCTATATTATTTATAAAAAAAATTATATTATACAATTCAATAATTCTATATTTTATATTATATAATTTTGGGATTTGACTATTTTAAAGTGATAGAATTTTATGATTTTTAAACTTTAGAAAATAAAGAGTTATAATAATTATTAATTAAAAATTAAGGATTGAGATTATAATTAATTTTAGATTTTATTATAAGAATTTGATTGATCAAAATTTTTAATTATTAATTTTTTAATTAATAATTATAAGTGCATTTAAGTTTGTAATTTTATTATTGTATAATTTTAACTTTTGAGATTATTTATCTACTTTACTTAATTTTATAGCAATTTTCTATTCTAATTGGATAGGTTTAATTTGGATTGATTTTTTTTTTAAAATTCAATCCAATCCAACAAGATTGTTTGGATATAGATATTAAACCCAAATTAATCCAACGTGTTTTCGTTCCTACTAAATAAATATAATTAAAATTTTCATTTTAAATTGAAATATATTTGTAGTGTTTTAAACATATCTTCAGAAACTTTAAATTCGATTTTCTTTTTTTATCATCAAACTTAAAAGGATGTCCCGAGTTTGATTTCAATATAAAAGTTTGTTGTCTTGTAATATAATGAAAAGGCCTTTTTTTGACAGCGTAAGTTCTGGTGATGACTTCTGGAAGGCCATGAGAGTTGAACTCATGGATCAGATTTTGAAGACTTTGAGCTAATCTATAGGATCATCTTCTTTTCAATGTCCTGCCACCCATATAATCTTTTATTTTTATTATTTCAACATACAACATGCATCTTCTATTTGGATAAACTTCTCTCAACTATTTTTATAAGAGTAAAATTAAATAAATATAAATAATAATTTTTTTTATAACTTTATGTATAAGTTACTTTTATAAAAGTTCTCGTATTAATTTTTTAAAATTTTTTTTTTGTTCGTCCCTGGAGGCACCTCAAAGGGTGGGATAGCTGGCCCCAAGATTTAACGCGGCTGCATACACAAGGCAGGATTCGAACCCCTGACCTTGCTTAAGCGTGGATCAACCCCTATCGCTGAACCACACGCTTGAGATTCTAAATTTTTATTTTAAATAACTTGTAAGTTAATTTTAATTTATTAAAAAATTATTATAATTTATTTACGTATAAAAATGCTTTTGAAGTGGCTTATTCTATTGGCATCAATTTATCTATATCTATTTTTCACTTTTTTTCAACCCATTTAAGTATACCCATTAGATTATAGATATAATCTCAAATGTATAATAAAATTTTAAAACTTTTAATTATTTTAATAACTTTATCTTTTATATAAATAAAAGTGTTAGTCGATTTAGTAGAGGTTTATGGTATATACACCTCCTGTTTTTATAAGTACACCTCCTTTATATTTTTCTTAAAAATTATAAAATATTGTAATTTTTTTTTTATAAATCTTATAATTTTATACCTTTAACTTTTAATTTGCTACTTTTTTCTTTTATTCACACACTTTTTTTTTCTTTTAATTTTCACATGCTACTAAAATAGGTGGGGTAGAAGAAATGTAAGAGGGTGCCTGTAAAAATTGAAAAAAGAAAAAAAGATGTATGAAATTTTTTTTACTAAATTAAATATTGTGGATGTAAAATTAAAAAAATAATAAAAATATTTAAAAATATTTTAAAATTTTAATTATTTTTTTAGAAAAGAGACGTACTTATAGAAAAAAAGAAGTGTATATATCATAAACTTTTAGTAGGGGACAACTTTTTTCCGGGACGGATCCACATTCATAATTGCGGCCCACAAATTTGTAAACATTTTTTTAATATAATGTTCATAATTATAAATTATTTCTAATTTTTAAATATAGTGAGAAATCAATTTATAATATAAATAGTATCTTCAACAAATTACTTTTAGTTTCACTCTTTTATTTTCTAACATTAAATATTTTTAATATTATTTTTTTGACAAGTATTTCACACATTATATATCTTTGTAATTAACTAAAAAAATTATCAATCATTTTAAATTCCTTTTCTTAATTTTGTCTTCACTAGAGTAAAAAAAAAAAACTTCATATCTCCATATAATTTTTTTTAAAAAAAAAGGTGCAGTTTCTGGATAATAATAATTGTAAGAATAATTTTTTAAAGTAAAATATACAGAAAAACTCAAAATAAATTAAATTAAAAATAGTAAAGAGCTAGTTATAAAGATAAAGTTGCCAAAAAAAATGTGTACAAGAAATAAGATTATTTATTTATTATTAGTATAGATGTAAATATATACTAGAGAAAGAAAGATACTACTTCCATGTGTTAAAATTATTAAACTAAATGTGACTACTCTCTCTCACCCTCCCTTTCACTCTCTCTATATATATATATATTGATTCATGAAATGATAATGAGAGAATGACATTATATAACTATTACAAAGAGTTAATGAAATGTTAGAATTATAAGACTAAACACCATCACTTATTTTATGGTTAATTGAAATCCAGTAGTGTTTAATTTTTTTCTCTCTATATATATTAACTAATTATCACTTTTAATATGTGGTCTTTTATCTTCATTTTCACAAGAAATTTCATTTTTTTTTCTAAATAAATTATCAATACCTAAAATTAATCTTATTTTTAATTTAAATTATTCACTATAAAATGATAGGAGATTTGTTTAACTCTTGTTAATTAGGATTAGGTTTTCAATGCATTTATGTTTTTTGGATTAGGAAATGAAGTTGAAGAGAAGTTTTTTCAAGTAAAGGACCTGTTTTTCAAGGCAGCACTCAACGTATGGTTCTAAAAATGAAGAGTAGCTGTGAGTTATTTTGTGCTAAATAAGAACCACCTTGGCTGTGCAAATCACAAGTCACAAAGAGTAACAATTAAGTCGTGTACGTGAGTTTTGTGATATTGATGAAATGGCATTTAAGTTGGACAAATAAAACAAAGACGAGACTTTTGTGCTATTGGCCCATAATTCACATATAAGGTGCTGCAAAGACTATATTTCTTTTTCTCTGTTGTGCCCAGAAAACAAACTAGAAAATAATTTAACTCTCTCTAAGCATAGAATATTCAAAATTATTATCTGTCTCTCATTAAGGTCAAAGGTCTCTATTTATACCATAATTATATTATCATTTAAGAGTATCATAATTTTCCTAATTTCTTGATCAGTGTTATATTATGAAATTAATATGTACATTAGTGGTATTAATTTTTTTATTAGGTAAATATTTGATAATACTTGGATTCATTTCAAACCACTACTCTTTAGT